ATTTGGACCAGTGTTATTTCACTATATTGAAGTTTTTATTAATATTTTTAATCTCTTGTTATTTTTATATTTTCTATTTTAATTTTAGTTACTTTTTAGTATTTTGGTGCTTGTTTGGCATTTTTAATAGTTTTCTCATTTATATGTGTAAATAGTTATTTTAAGTGTTATTTTTATAAAGTTAAACTAAATTAAAATGAGAAATGTTGCCTTGGCAACTAGCTGAAATAGGTTTTTATGTTTTAATAACATTTATTTTAATTTTAAGTAGCAATTTTTTATGATTTAAATTTTAGTTTCTGTTTTAGGTAACTATAATAACTATGATTCGGACCAGAAGAAAACCATTAAAACTCTATATGCAATTCTATATGCATCTCTTAATGTAGTTCTGTCATTTTAGCCTACAATTTTTAGCCCAAAATATTTTTATACTTTATAAATATTTATATATTTTATTTATATCACTGTAGTTCTGAACGTACTTTGACTTTCTGTCTGTTGTACTGAATTGAAATTAAATAAATAAAACAAAGTCAAAATTATAACAGAATGAAAAGTGAATTTGGAGACTCCCTAAATATTGATTTGCAATTAAACCTTGAATTGCATGACAAAAATGGCATGTGCCCAAACCGAAAATGACTTCTAATTGTTCACGGAGTTGTCGCATTGTTATAAAACAAATGAATATGCAAATTAATATGATTTCCATGTTTAAAAATGGCAAGTGACATTTCATAAAATATATTTAGACACGTATGATAATGCCATGAAAGTGATCTCAGGTTAGTCACAGGTGTCAGGAATCACCTCAGGCTACTGGTGAAATTCTGTGAACTGGTCCTACTGGTTCATGGGACATTAATATGTTTCCCCTTCACACGTTCAGACCAGTCGTGCAAGATGTGCAGAATTTTTCACATTTCTAGTCTTTGTTTTCTCCTGTTTTTGCATTTTGCATTTCGAGTTTGGGGTCAGTAAGAGTCTTTGATCCTTATCAAAGCTGCAATCATTTGATCAAAAATACAGTAAAATGATGAAATATTATTAGAATTTAAAACCGCTGTTTTCAATGAGAATATCTATTAAAATGTAATTTATTCCTGTGATGCGCAGCTGAATTTTCAGCATCATTACTGCAGTCTTCAGTGTCACATGATCTTCAGAAATCATTCTAATATGCTGATGTGCTGCTCAAGAAACATTTCTGATAATTATCGATGTTGAAATCAGTTGTGCTGCTGAATATTTGTGTGGAGACTGAACAACATTTATTATCTTTTATAACATTATAAATGTCTTTATTCTTACTTTTGATCAATTTAATGCATCCTTTCTGAATAAAAGCATTGATTTCTTTCAGAAAAAACACATTTCTGAATAGTAAAGTATCTCAATAGATCTGAAAACCTCTTCCTGTTTGGGTAGATTGTTTCCTGTGGATTCATTCTGCTTCTCAGCAGATAATGTTGCTCTCGTCGACACTTCCTGTAATTCAAGTCCAAATTAAACCTGACTTTGTGTTGTGGTGTATTGTATCAGGACTGGATCCGATCGCATGCTGGAATAGAACTTGTATCTGACACTGCATAATAAATCACTGGTGTAGCTGTGTGTATGTCGTGTGAGTTAAGGGTCCACGGCTCACCTGTTTGTTTTCTGGGTGGTGGTAAACCTGCTGAGGACTGTGTGTGAGAGTGTGTCAGGATTGGTGAATTGGCTTCCTTTAAAATGCACAAGGTGGAATTTGAATGGACTCTACAGGAAGTAGATTCCATTCAATTGGAATGACAGGAAGATGAATTTAGTGCATTGCAATTCAAGGAATTTGAGCAAAATTGCACAAAGTTTAGTTACAAAACATAAATGAATTATTAATTCAGATGGGACCATTTCTTTGCAGAATGTTAATAAATACATTTCTTTGTAATTGTGTGAATGTGTGTGTGAATCAGAAACTACTTTTTGTGCCCTATGCAATTATTTATTTATTTTCCGGATTTGTATTTTTCTGGATTCCGTTTATTTCAATTTAAATGGACTCTGTTTTAATGGTTAAATTAAGTTGTATTAATCAAAAGCATGTCTAATTAATTAAAATCATGATGTTAATTAAATTTAACAATAACATTTTTTTTTCTTAAATTGTTTTATTTTCTTTCCAAATTCTGTATTTTCAGTTTTTGGGGTTTTTTTGGATTCCATTTTAGTGGTTTAATAAATTAATTAATTGATCAAATGTTATTTCAAATTTCAAAGCTTAATTGAATTTAAATCAAGAAATTAATTGAATTCATAAAAACAACTTAATTTATATTTTTTAACAATAATAGGATACTATGATTTTTATCTATTTTTTATTATTATTATTTATATATATATATA